ATATATATATATATATATATATATATATATATATATCATCTTCAGTCAGTATGCATCACCTTAAGCTATAAAAAGACTGGAAGCATTAAGGGGTAATGCTTTCTTTTACAGTAAATCTATAACCATTTAATAACATAGTAATAACATAGCAAGTTACCCTATATTAGTAGGTTAAAAAGAAAAACTTTATGGAGATTCTGTAAAAGTTTAAAAAACAATCCACTGGACTTGGTTTCCAAGAATTGAAGATGTTTCGCCTCCCCTCCAGGAAGCTTTCTCAATTCAAATGTCTGAATCCGCAGTGAGTTTCAGTCTTTATGGAGAATTTTGTGCTGTACTTTAAATTCCAGGCAGACAAGGTAAAGTCAGACTTCTTAAATGTCAAACCTTTATTACCAGGTAATGCAGTCATTTCACTGACAGAAATAAGTTAATGTGTTATTATCCAGTAATATGCAGTTTATTACTTGACATAAGAGAAAACCAAACTTAGAAGATGGCAAGTCAATCTTCTTAACTAAACTCTTATTTAGCCTATATGTAACTTCAGCGTTATAATGCTTTATTTGCCTGATCATAAGTTACAATTTACTTTGTAAGCCATTGGTAGGTGGCGGCCAAAAAAAGAAACTGTTATGTGGTAACCTGATGGTAATTACCCAGCAAAAGTCTCCATAGTAATGATACATGCAGGTAATTACTTTGAAATTATAAACCTCAATTTGGGGTAATTACCAAATAAAGTTTTCTTGTTACCTAGTAATATAGTGTAACTACCCCATTATTACATGGTTATTGATGTACTGTAAAAGAAAGTGTTACCCATTAAGGTCCATGGCAGAGTAAGGGGTGGGCTGTTGGACTAACTAGCTTAACCAGTAAGTCACTTAATTAAATTAAAAAAAAAACCACATAAGGTGATCCCCAATCAGATCAATTGCCTTTGTGAGGCAGCGACCGACAAGGAGTTGATGTCTTGCCTTAGTCCCAGGGCTGCACAGCATTCGGCTCAGGTTGAATAAAATGTCAATCACAGAAAGAAAGTTAATTTTACCTTTTTGCATAAGAGCTCCATGTTTAACGTTGTATCACGAAATAATTACATTTTGGCAGCATCTGCTTCACAAGGTTGATAACTAATTCATGAAATTAGGTATCTAAAGAAACGGCATGCCGCAACAGACAGAATACTGTATTATTGCACGGCGGTCTCGCCTCTGTCAGTCTGCCCCAGGGTGGCTTTTGCTTTATTGTAGCTTGCCATCATCAGCCTGGGAATGTGAATGTAAAACTGAACGACGTGTCAAACAATTTGGTGTCCTTGGACTAGATAGAAGGTTTTATTAGTACAGGACATTTACCATTTAGCAGACAACATCAGCACCAGGCACCAAAGCCTCCATTCTGACTTTAATTAATGCATCATTTAATTCTGCTCAGGTTTAACCAAGTTTAAGGAGATGATTAATCTGTTCTTTAATGATAATGTGTTTCAGTAAAACAACTGAACTGATGCATAAGGTGTACCTTCATTAATAAACCAATAAAGCTAAAGTAAATTGTATTCTAATGTGATGATCTTTAGTGCATGTTTAGTTTGTCACATTTTTATTAACACTATGTTGTTTTTTTTACTTATTTGGTTTTCGGTAAAATAAAGGTTACTGAAGTTTGAAAGTAAGTAATCAGTTTAGTAACCAAAAGTCATTTTATAATCTGAGCTTCATTAAAAGAACAGACTGTACACAAATCCTAATGAAGTGTTATTTTTTTTGTTAAGAGGATGTATTGACGAGGATAAAAGGCAGGTCGCCGTGGTCTTTGCCCTGACAAACAGGAGCAGCAGCAGAGGCAAAGCAGGATTTGTGGGGTTAATTTATCCACCTCTCATTAAGGAGCCATGACAAAGGCTAGAAGCTGACAAAGGTAGAGGTCAGGTCTGGTTCAGTGACCAGCTCTTGGCCTGTCAGCCCATCACAGCCACTGGTCTGAAGCCTCCCCACTGTTTCTCAGCCAGGAAAAACGTCTCCACTCTGAGAGCAGAGCCGAAGTGACACCAAGCAGTATAAAAAACCTGCAGAACTCATTCAGGAGGATCTGGACCAACTTCACAAGAAACATAGACATAATGGGAGTGATGTCACTTCTGTCGATGCATGTCAGTTTGATAAAAATAAAGCAACTAATAATCTCTGTGATGAAGAGGGTTCTATCGTGCTTGTTTCTGCCACCAACCACCTGCCTGATCCCACATGTGAAAATAGCTTCAGATTAAAACGTAGCAAATTTGATTCTGAGGCTGAACGATGACAATAACACCAGAATGAACTGCTCTACAATCTAATCTGCAGAGAAGAGAAGATTAGGGAGGAATTCCACAAGGAGATGGAGATGGGATTGGTCTTGGGGACATAAACCCTTCTCTACACCATCTTGTGTTGTGATTTATCTGCTCAGTTCAGTCAAAGCAACAGAATCTACAGCAACTAACACTCTGCGACATTCTGATTAGTGATTTTAATTTGATGCCTGCAGAGATAAGGCATCAAATGGTCAGATTGTCTTCAGTGTGAAATAATACATATTTTATTTGATAAATGATTAGATTTATATATTGAGTCAACTGCATTATTTATTGTACTGTAAAAATTTCTTAAATCTGGGATACATTTGAAATGTTGGGTTTTGTTCAGATCAAGAAACACTAAGTTTCCAATTTAAAGCTTACAAATAGTTTTGTGATTTACTATGTTTCTAAAGTGCTAAATATATATATAATTTACTTTTATTTTTTAAAGCCCTGGAACATAAAATATTTTTCAGAAGATTCCATTTTTATTTGTTAGAAATGCAATTGAACTTTCTGAAGAAAAAATTCAAAAACATAATTTTTGTATTAGTCAAATTAGATGATTTATTTACATAATTTATGACATATTAGTCATTTCTGTATTATTTTTTATCAGACACAATTAGACCCTTACTTGTGTTTAATTGTGTCATTCAGGGTTTTCAAGAACAAAAATATCACAATGCCGATATTTTGATACTCCTGCATCAAATATGATACACTTGATTTTAAAGGGTTAAAATCTTAAATTTCTTCTCAAGCCAACTCTGCCAACAATATTTAATAGATCTAAAATAGTTCTGCAACAAATAAAAAAATAATTCAAAAATATATAAAAGTGATTTGGATCCAAAGCAATTCATTCACACTCCTTGTAATATGATGAAAGTGCTTCTAATCTTTGTCTTCACTCACCCTGGTACTGCTGCGTGCTGCTGTTTCTTACAGATGAAAGGTGTCCGCTGTAGGATGGGTGAGACAAGGGTTCCTGCTGCTTCATATGTTCTCCCAGCCCATCTATACCCATCTTCTGGGGCCCAGTGGGCCCAGCAGGACTTAGCAAGGGGTCCTGGTCTTTATTGAAGCCCAGGATGACATCAATGCTGTGGACGCGGCCCCCGACAGCGGTGCCCCCGCCTTTCCCCATTTCGTGAAAGTTGCTGGGCGAGAGGCAGCTGTCGTCCACCATGCTCATGGTATCCAGAGATAAATGCATCCGAATGTTTGGGTCAGTCACCTGTATAGAGTGGTGAGCAGAGAGGTGAGGGTGAGGAACTGGGGGAGGTCACTGCCCAGCCAATATGTTTAGATGTACCTCTGTATGGATTTTGTTCCATCTGGAATGGGCTTAGACTCAAAACACACATAAGATTGGGACCCAAATGAGTTGACATAATATGACCCATATCTCTAAAGCCAGTTGGGCAATGTAGGTCAAGCTTAACTTAGTCTTATATAGATTTTGGGAAACTCAGTTCAAGATGTACAACTAAGTCAGAGTCAGAGACCATATGGGTCTGACCTTATAATCAAAGTTGTCCTTCGGGTATCTATAAAGGCAGTTAACTTACAGGAATATAGGTCCAATATGCAAACATTAGCTAAGAAAACTCTACTCTACATTTCTCTTTATATATTATTTTTAGGTTGAATTTATAACTTAGAAAAAATCTTCATAGGTCAAACCTTCTATAGATCTAATGCAAAGGGTTTTACACTAGATTTGTAATGCAGATATTAAAAAATTTTATGTTATGTTACAATAAATAACAAAAAACAAATTCCTAAAATTTGATAAATCAAAATCGTTTTCTCATAAATAAATATTTATGTCGCTTGCAAAGCATTTACAGTAATTTTGCAATGTATCCAACTGCGCTGAACTGCAGAGAGAGCATCCTAAGCTTACTTTATCGGCTGGCCTTCCACATTAGTTGTTTGGAGGGAAGGACAATCAGTTTAAACTGCTCTCACTGTGCAGATTAACCAATCCTCATTTGTTATTATCTATTCAAGCCACATGAACAAATTCAATAGTTTTTTTTATCATGGTAGTGCAATAAATGAAGCATGAGATGGGTATATAAACACTCAAAAAGATATAATGACATATTTTTGCCTATGGTTTTTCATGACTAATTCAGTATACGTGTAAATGAATGAATTATTGGCATATTTACATATTCACAAATATTTTTATTTATTTAATACATATTTGAATTTTGCTATAACAGTTTTTTTAATAAATGATTTTCATTAAGAGTATTTATTTGAGACTCGAGGTGTGCTTATTGATAGAAATACAGCATTGATGATAAATATTAAAGGATATTCCATCTAATAAACACCCAGGTTTTACATTTATTTTCACAAAGCCTAATAAATATGTTTGTTTCATATCAAAGGGAATTTTTTTTTAATCTTAAGAAAAATTTTTAATGTAATGTTTATCTTTATGTTTTTTTTTACACATCTTACATAGATGAGTAAAACTTTAAATACTATAAATGGAAAAGCATAATGTCTGTCATAAAAAAAACATAGTTCAAAATTAATGCATGTAAAAGGGAACCTTATTACTTTTGTTGAAATATTTGGTAAGTATACTGAAACCAGAAGTGCTTAGCATGTTTTAAACTTTTAAATTAGTCACCTGTTAACTTTGTGGCTGTGCCTACCTGTTGGAAGGAAAAACAAGGCTGAAGCTACCAATGCCAGAGGTCCACCTGCTCCTCTCAGACTCCAACTTCACTTTTCCCAAATCAGTTTTTTTTTGCTCCTCCTGTAGTTTCTCTCAGTCCAGCCTGTTAACTGATGTGCATTCCTCTATGTAATTCAGCCAATGTGCCATAAATGGTCCAGACAGGAACTCCTCAATAAAGGGCCAACCTATAGAATCAGCGTGTTCAGTGGCTGAGTTTAGCAGCATCGACTCCAGCTCGGAGAGCAGAGTGGGAGAGTAGTGAGACCGGGAGGGAGAGGTGGACAAAGCTGAGGAGGCGTAGGAGGTGAAACCAAAGGATTAGGACAGGCTTGTTTATTGCAATCCTTCCTCTTTAAGAGTGATTGGCAGCGGTTTTCTGCTCAACTAACTTCTGTCAATGTCCTTTAGAAAATTACACTAACACCAAGGCTAGCCTAATAAAAACCTTTCATTGATATAATCTTATTGTTTCAGAAAGAAAAATAATTATTAAGCTTTCACTAAGCACACCCACTCTTAGAAGGACTGAGCAAAAGAGGAAACAATGAGAAACATAGGATAAAAGGAAACAGTTACAAAGAAATAAACTCATATTATTCAAGCTTAAAACCTTAATTAGGATCATTTATAAAATAACTTGTCAGTAAACTTGGTTTATTGCTGCTCTAAAAAAAGAATTAAACTACACAGAAACAAGTGTGTCTATTAAGCTGTAAAAATAAAAGTTAGTCATAAAGTTATTTGAGAGTTGAAAATTCTTTGTTTGCAATTATTGGCAACCCAGATAAAGAGCAGTAAAAACCAACCTATCAATCCATCTTTTATTATAACAACAAAATTTTAAATTGTTTTAAAAAGTTTTGATTTATGCACATTTTTCAGTAAAATAAAAATCTAAATCAGCAATTATTTTAACAAATTGATCAACACATTTTGTTCAACAACAATATTTGTGAGATCATTATAACCAAAACTTTTTTTATTATTATTTCTGTCATTTCTTAACATTTTGTAAAGGTTTCCTGTTTGGCTGATGTTTAAACTGTTGACATGAAAAAGAGTTAGACCATCATTATTTAACTACTCCTCAAAATGAGAAAGACATGAGAACATGCCAATGAAGTGAATCATATAAGTTCATTTTTTTAGTAAAAGCATAAATTGACGTATTGTCAGAGTAATAATGAAAGACATTAGAATAACTGTGATGAGTTATGCTTAATAAGGACAAACCCTTATCTTGCCTCCAAACATGCAAAGACAGAAAGAACTATTATCAGTTATATTTGTATTTTATTTCATTAAAATACCAGATAATTTCCAATGATAATTCATTTCATCCATCCATCCATCCATCCATCCATCCATCCATCCATCCATCCATCCATCCATCCATCCATCCATCCATCCATCCATCCATCCATCGTCTAGACTGGGTATCTTGACAGTGAGAGTTAGTTACACCCTGGACAGGTTGCCAGTCCACCACAGGGTATTACAGGGATGAAAGACAAAAAAAAACCAGGCACACATTAATACCTAAGTATGATAAAAAGTAACTAATTAACCAGTTTGGACTGTACTGGTGTACCTGGAGAAAACCTGCATATGCAGAGGGAGTAAATACATACTATGCAGAAAGAATCATAGATAGGATCCTAACAAAGGACATTACAATGCTTCATGCTGCAAGCCAACTAATCCACTGCTTCAGTATGATGCTCTGGAGCTGTTAGCATTTTTTTTTTCTGAAGGGTTAGGCAATGCAAACCATGTGGTCACCAAAAAGGAGAGTGTTTTCTTGTCTGATTAGCAACCTTCTTCTTGAGCTCTTCATTCATGAGACGTTCCACTCTAGATTGCACTGGGAAAATAACCTGTTATCCAAAAAACACTGAAGGCCCCTCAGCTGCTGCAGCTGGACCAGCATATGGCGAGGTACACAACATGTATCTGAACCATAATGCAGTGAGCCATGAATAAACCAAGAACTCGAATGTCAAAAGTTTCATATTCAAACAGTAATTTTAGAGCTCTATATCAGAGTCAGGTATGCATCTGAAATCACTTAGTAAATTTACTTTAAGAAGAGTCCACTGCAGTCAGGCAGAGTAAAATTGTAATAGTAGAGAAATGCAAAGAATACCTTTAATGTGAACAGATGATTTGCACTTGCAGAACAACTGCAACCATAAAAAACAATAACAGTATAGGCAGGGTAGTTGTGGGGTGTATATATATTTAATGAATTAAGATCATATTAGCCTAACATCATTTGAATACTGCATTTATTCTAACCTTACAGTTAAATGAATGTCTTCAGAAAGGAGCTTGATACTTATCCTCTTATAAAGTGGGATTTAGGAGTGTTGTTGACTGTGTGATGGTTTTGACCTGGGATTGACTGGTTACTTGTCAGGATGTACAACCTGCCTCTCACCTGATGACCACTAGAGACAACCGACAGCCCCATTGTAACCCTGCGAGGATTAAATGCATCGGAAACTGAGAATTGTGATGCCAGTTGATACATTTACCACAATATCCCTATAAATAAAAAATAGAGGTCTTAAAAAAACCCCAGCTACCTTGCCTATGAGGCTTTCAACTGTGAAAATGTGTTTAAGGTATGCCTGTCTTGGGAAGGAGGAGAAAAAATCCCATACATTTGCTAATTCCAACACCATTTATCAAATTTAGAAAAAATATTTATTAAAAGAAATGGGTCAGCAGAGCTTCCTCAGTGGTAACGCTGGAGGAATAAATCTCTTGCACAATCAGGTTGTTCTTGATTCGTTAAAAAGGTATCCACTTCCAGATGGCGGTAGGTTAACAGCTTATGGGCTGTATGAGAGTGATCTCTCATGATAGTGAGATATCCCTTGTTCCATCCCTGTCTGAGAGTAGCCTAATGGCAGGGGAGTCAGATAAAGCTGATCCACTAGGTATTGTTGAGTAAATTACACATTTTACCAGCTACAACCATAAACCAGTTAAATATGCTGGTGTGTGGAGTGGAATGAAACAGGGAAACCAGGAGGCTATAAGAAATCATGTCAACTCAATATAGGAAGACACTCAGCTCTGTTTAAACCAGATTCTTTTCCTGGAAGGAGACACCTGAAAACATTCACTAAAGTTTGGTTTTTGAAAGAAACATATATGACTTACAGAGGTGGACCAATAAGGGGGATATAAGCAGTAGTGGACACACCACAAATCATACATCTTCAATGGAAACTTAAAGGAAATTATAAAGGGATTATACTAAATAAGATTGTCTAAAAATGAGAAGAAGAAGAAGAAGAAGAAGAAGAAGAAAACATTCTTGAAGTCTGGGTGTTTTGATATTCCAGGCGAGGAAACATCTTGAATTGAATTAACTGATGCCACACATTATCGGACATGATCAAATTCTGCCGTACCTGTCCTCCTAAATCGAATTTTCCATCTGTTTACCCATATCTATCTCCCATGCAGTTTTCAAAAAGCCTGCAGCAAAATTTACTCTGCATATTTAAGTTTTTTGGTTTTTAATACATTAAAAGTTCACAAACCTAGTTTTGAATTAGTTTTTAATTTGGAAATATCTGAAAAAAAAGCTTAAAGTTTTTTTACCTGTGCATTTCCCACTGTCCCAACTGATCTCAATGTCCCAACCAGCTGGCAAATCATGACCAAAAGTTGAGGTTCACCATTCTGTCTCACAAATTAATGGGACACAAAATATCCTCCACACAGTCAACATTTTTCACATACTTGAGCACACTCTGTGAACATCTGTATTTTATCAAGGTGAACGTCTGCCCAATCGGATCAGCAAAAAGCAACATTTTCAAGATCAATTACACTAACCCATCACACCAAAAAATTCTGCTTCCTGGGAAATAGTCTTGAAATAAGCAATAAAATAGGCTCAAATTGTACATAATAATACACAACTTAAACTCGAGGGGAGCCTTTGCTTACAAACATGTACAAATACAAATACACACACCACACATAAATTATTGTAAAGTTGCAGGTGCATCTCACAGTTACATACAGGTACAAGGTGCATGCAGCCAAAATAGTGGTCTTTAATGTTCGCTGCTCTTAAAGCTTAAAAAGAGCCACTTTGCAGAGGAGGGGATGTATGATTAGTGTAGAGGAAATCCGTCTATGACACTATGAGGGAACCAGACCCGGCCTATTTTTTTTGTAAGCTGCAGATCATGCCACTTAAAAATAAATACATAAAGCTGAAAAAGTAAATAAAATTTTGGTATAGAATTCATAACCAGCTGGTAAAACTATAAAGCAGTGAGTAGAAGAAATGATCAGTCCCATATAAACTAGGCGTAACAGCACAAAATTTCTTTTTTTTTAGCCACATGTATGTTAACCTTTCACAATTTACATCTATACAGACAGATTAACTGGGTTAAACCTATAAAAATATTATATGGGAACCTTATAAGTGAATCTGAAGTGTGTAGGACTAAAGCACCTCTCAGAAAAAAAGCTAGCCAAGTGTCACTTCGCCTCCACATCCCCAGACCTCCAAACTATTATCCAGGACAATGAGAGAGAATTTTGAAAAAACATTATATATATGGAAATTGCATTTAATCTATAACATTTTATGAGTTACTTACTTTGAAGGTCGGCAGTGAGTGGAGAATAAAGAGTGCACAAAAACAGCCATTGGGCTGGAGAGAGGGGAGAGTTTCAAACCTCTTTAGTCCTCTCTGCAGGATGCTTTGGCAGGTCAATGCTAAATTTGCCCCCCCGGCACGGATAACACACCTAAAATCTCTTACCCACACAGTGGTGGAGCTTTGTGGTTAATTTTAGGCTGCAGATTTTGACAAAGAACAGGTCTGTTTTCATGAGGAGCTCACGCAAAGACAAAAACAGGGAGCTGCTGCAAACAAGCTCCAAAGTCAGCTCAAGTTTATTGCCATTTAACTGATAAAATTCATTATAAATGTACATTTAATACCTCCAGGTTATAATATATAGTTACTCTAAATTGTGAACTTTAGTTGCAAAAGAAAGTCAGAGTAACCAGAGGCACTGGTGCAATTTACAAGAAAGATCAAGTGCAGGGAGAGAAACTGTGACATAAACTGATGATCACATACCTGAAATTTGACTTTAAAAATCAATAAACCTCAATCGAATAATTCAAGGGAAAATCTGATGTATAAATATTTACAATTTGGTCTACTGCTCCCCTGATATGAGCCCTGAATAAACATCTTTTAACAGTTCTGTAGG